CCCCGCCCCAACTCCGCCCCCTCCCCTGCTTCCCACGAACATTTGATTCGCAGGAAGCAGGTAAGCTGGGGGGGTGGGGGGAGGAGGCGGCCCCGGCCCCTGGCCCAGCGCGCCCCCAGCCCGGCACACCCCCCAGCTGCCCAGCACCGCTGGCCCCCGGCGACCCGGCGCACCCCCCGGCCGCCCAGCACCGCCGGCGGCCCGGTCCCCCAGCACCCCTGGCCCAGCCCCCGGCCGCCCAGCATCAGCGGCGCTGGATTTTCCCGGACATGTCCGGCTTTTTGGGATTTCCCCCCGGATGGGGATTTGAGTCCCAAAAAGCCGGACATGTCCGGGAAAATCCGGATTATGGTAACCCCAAGTCACTCAGGTTGGGGAAAGGACAGCCCCTGGCTCTCACCGGCGGTGGGAAGCGGAGTGCTACGGCTGGGAGCTGGCGGAGTAGAGCGGGCTGGGGCCGGACTGCTCTGCTTCCCACTGCTGCCGGTGAGTGGGGGATCCCTTCCCCCAAACCCCCTTCCCCAAGCGATATGGCTGGGGCTGGGACGAGGGAAGCGAAGCGGCCTGCTCCCGGCCCCCTGCTAATCCCCTGGGCCACTCTGGGCCTGTGGGGCCCCCAAAAGTGGCCCCCCACAGCTCCTGCCTCCCAGACTCTGGGGTGGGGGGGGGAGGCCTGGGGCTGAGTAGGGCACCCAATTGGCTAGGGATGGCCCTGCATACACAGACCCCACTGAATTCACATATTATAGGCACATAAACTCTCCATTACCCCTAAGATACAACAACTTCCCCTTACCGACCAAGTCACAGTGTTAATAAAATTACATAGCATTAGTCATAACACTATTACATATCAGCTCTGCATCTGTCACATAAGTGTTTACCATTGAGTAGCATGAGGTACTACTCCCATTCTCTGCAAGCTAGGGAAAAGAGACAGGTTATCCAACTTGGAAGTCCTGCATGACAGAACAGAGCACTAGCCCTAGGTGGGCCTAGTCTGTACAGTTTAAATACTAGAGGGTTATTTTATATCGCTTGAAACATTGGTACCTACAAGTTACATCCTCTACTGCAGCAAGCTGGCATATTTAGATTTGTATTCCTCTTTGTTCTGGGGAAGCAGAATAGGCATAAGTATTAATAGAAGAAATCTTGTCAGAAGTCCCTGGTCAACAAGTCTTTAGAATTAATAACCCTTTCCTATTAGAGATATCAAAATCTTATCTAAAGATTTCTGAATGAGAATACTCAAAATAGTGGCACCAGGACTAAATTAACTTCTTACTTTCAGGAGTGATTTTTTCCCCTCTTTTTAAATTGTAGGCAGCCTCCACCCAATATTCTTGATCTACAAGGCTGCAACGCTAGGGGCAGGCTTGCCTGGAATTGCACTGACTATGACAACTTCTATCACGCTGACAGCAAATGGGCTGCAATGACCAGGGATAGCTGGTCATCAAGGGGATCTGCGCTTCCCAGCTTAAAGGTACAGTACTTTCCCTAAATTTATAGCTGAAACTTTCAAATCGAGACTGTGGTAGTGGCAAGAAAATGATAGATGAAAGGAGGAGGCTGGCTTCTTAGGCCTGGTCTACACTAGGTGTGCGTGTGTGGGGGGTCGATCTAAGATACGCAACTTCAGCTATGGGAATAGCGTAGCTGAAATTGACGTATCTTATTTCGACTTACTTCCTGTCCTCATAGTGCGGGATCGACGGCTGCGGCTCCCCCGTCGACTCCGCTACAGCCGCTTGCCCTGGAGGAGTTCCAGAGTCGACGGGAGTGTTCGGGGAATCGATATATCACGTCTAGACAAGACACGATATATCGATCCCCGATAGATCGATCGCTACCCGCCGATCCGGCGGGTAGTCTGTACGTAACCCTTAGAGTTGTGGAGTTTGGTCCTGGTGCTGTAGAGCTTGGCAGCGCTTTTTGATTGAGGAACAATTTTCTGTCTGGGGAATCATATACTCTGTTCTAGAAGAAAGTTTAGCTAAATAAACATGCTTAAAACTAAAGTGATCAGCATCAGCAGGCCAGTCCCTATACAGGTTTTTAGGGCCTATATAGAATCTCAAAAAACAGGTCTTAGCACCTGTAGTGTATAGTATTATAGAAACACAGGAATAGTTGTAGCACTAATAGTCGCCAAAGCATTACTGGTTTGTTAGTGTAGTGATAACTAAACAAATACCAAGAGGAGATTAACTGTCTAGGCGTTTTTGTGTGCATGCGCACACACTCCTAGGCCACAGAGGTTCAATAGTAAAATAAAACTGCCCAACAGTTCATATCTGAAAATAAATGGTTATAGGCATTGTTGGAATTCAGCTCCAGAATGGGGACCCACTCTCTCGTTGCTCAGATACCAGCTCCAGTCCTCTTTCCATATAATTCAAGTTGGATACCCCAATCACCTCATCACTCTGTGGTAGGGGAAAGGCCATGAAAACAAAAGTACTCATGAATCCATTCTTCTCCAGCTGAAAACAGTTCTCACTCCATCTGTAACAGGGCAACAGATTGCTCTCTGTATGGGAAACTCTTCGCTCATAGAAGGAACAATGGAGCTTTCCTTCTGTCATAAAGGCTTTTTTAGCAGATCACCATGGGATCATTATAACTCCAAAATTCAGTTTATAGGAGACTGCATTTATTTTTAAAAGCTCGAGATAGTCACTCATAAGCTCGCTAGTGCTGTCTTGATCTTGAGGGCTCTCTGGACAACATGCAGTTCATACTTGTAATTCGTAGACTGTCTTAGTCCTGGGATTGTGCCAAAACAGAAGATTGACTGTGACATATTACAAGGGTAGTTTTTCAGCATGTGGATTACTAGTATGTGGCAATTAAGCTAATTTTATGTGGGAACAGCAGTATCATAAGGTCAGAGTCTTGTGCTTTGTTTACCAATCCACCCAGCTGCCTTTTCCCACATCTAAAATCCTGGCTTTCATTTTTAGTTTCACTCCATTGCTTTTCAATTGTGTATATACAGAAAACAGAATAGCAAGAATATATTAATCCATCACTGGTTGTTGAACTGACTTCATCCTACCTATATTTTATCATGTCTCCTGTACTGGAGGGAAAAGCTATTCTTTAAAACACTATTTTTCTTCGTTTTACACCAGAGTTAGCATATAGTCCACAGTAGTTCTATCAATTGCAGCCCACTGGGGTAAAAATAAAAACAGTAAAAAACTAGTGATCTTCAATAAATAAGTAGATAAAGTACATCACCACCAGCTTTGTAATTCCAGTTGCCATTTATTTCATGGAATATAAGTCTTAAACCAGGTATCTGCCTCTGGTATTAGGATTATTTTGTTTCAGGATACATTTTTTAAACAAATCCTGAATTTTGTTGGCAAGTATCAAATCATGGAATTGAGGTTAATAGTGAAAAATTACATCCCCAAGCCTTGACTGCCTTAATCTGTTTTGAATACCCTATCAGTTTTATTACTCATTGTCAGTCTCAGAGAGTCTGCGTTTTTTATTTACAGATGTACACGCCCTCTCCTACTTTCTGACCCTTCTGCTTGGGTGTTGCATGTGTACTGATCTATACCTCCTGTTGATACCATTCAATTTATGCTCCCGCTTCTTGTCCAACTGCTGATATCCTGTCCCATCCTCAACCCCTCATTCATTCATAAAATGTACCCTAAAATAACATTATAAAGATTCATAGAAGATTAGGGTTAGAAGAGACCTCAGGAGGTCATCTAGTCCAATCCCCTGCTCAAAGCTGGACCAACCCCAACTAAATCATCTCAGCCAGGGCTTTGTCATTCCGGGCCTTAAAAATCTCTAAGGATGGATTCCACCACCTCCCTAGGTAACCCATTCCAGTGCTCCACCACCCTCCTAGTGAAATAGTTTTTCCTAATATTCAACCTAGATATCCCGCACTGCAACTTGAGACCATTGCTCCTTGTTCTGTTATCTGCCACCACTGAGAACAGCTGAGCTCCATCCTCTTTGGAACCCCCCCCTTCAGGTAGTTGAAGGCTGCTATCAAATCCCCCCTCACTTCTTTTCTGCAGACTAAACAAGCCTAGTTCCCTCAGCCTCTCCTCGTAAGTCATGTGCCCCAGCCCCCTGATCATTTTCCTTGCCCTCCACTGGACTCTCTCTCCAATTTGTCCACATCCTTTCTGTAATGGGGGGGCCCCCCAACACAGGACGCAATACTCCAGATGTGGCCTCATCAATGCTGAATAGAGGGGAATAATCACTTCCCTCCATCTCCTGGCAATGCTACTAATGCAGCCCAATATGCCGTTAACCTTCTTGGCAACAAGGGCACACTGTTGACTCATATCCAGCTTCTCGTCCACTGTAACACCCAGGTCCTTTTCTGCAGAACTGCCGAATTGTTAGGGTCAATGCATTAGCGTTCTCAGCCTTATTGATTAAGTCACAAGTAAAGATCCATTTTATGGACTCATCCTAAACCTAGGTAGAAGTTTTCACTCAACAGGAGATAGCCACATAACTCAGCACAAATGGTGCTCTGGTTAAGGCCTAGACCAACAAGGGAAAATGCAAGTCAGGATCACAACCCAGAGGCACAGCTGTGCAAGTGTTCTCTGCATGCTACTAGGCCTTCAGTCTCATGAGCACCAAATTCTGTTTACCTTAAAAAGGTCACTGTTTTGGTAAGAGTCCTATGTAAAGGACAGGCTATGCAGTTCACCACAAAGTGAGTGACTGTGAAATCATAGTGACAATAGAGTAAAACAAAGTTGTATTCACTGAATGTGCCTGTACGGGACAAAGCTTGGTACCACACCAAGCACTGTAGGAGATTCCAGATATATGTCAAAAGGCTACAAAGTTTACAGTTACCGGTTCAAAATAAAAAACTGAAGCCATTTCAGGGAGATGCACAGTGAGGAGAACTTGATGTCAGGAGTTATTTTTCTTGTCCCCTTCAGCCTGAGATATTACTAATCTTTATGGAGTTCAAACTGAAGATGGAATGAGTGGTTATAAAGATACAAACCAGACTGTACCTCAGCTCTATTCCCAAACATAAGGGTGCAAAAAAAATTGTTACATTAATCCCCTCTCTTCTCCTTGTATGTAATGATTGGCTGCAAGGCCAACAGATCCAGTCGCTTCTACAGTTTCTCCATTCAAATCTCATGCTGCTCTAAGGCCTCCAGACTGGACAGTTGCTTGGTGCACTCTGGACAGTATCCAGCTTGGAAGCTTTAGAAAGATGATGGATTTGGCATAAAAAAACTGCCCCGAAACAACTGGAAATCTGGTGAAGTCTGATTGTTCATGCACATTAAAAAAATAAAAAATAAAATAAAGTACAGAAAATTGAGTGAAGCACAAAAATACAAATACAGAACCTCAGGCTCTTAGGGCACTTGGACAAGTATAAAATAGTTTTGTTTTTAAAATAAAGTCATATAGATGTTATGAAAAGCCTTATGTTATGAAAGAGTAAGGAGTGAACCTGGAAACAGCCACAGGCCTGTGAGATCTATTGAATTAAGAGATAACTAGTTCCTCCACAGAACCTAATTAGCAAGGGCATTCGGAACATTCGTGTTCACTCAATTTTCATTTCTGCTCACAGATCACTTTTAAGGTATCAGCATTTGTCTGCGTATAAATGGAGAGGGGGCATCTATAGATTTGAGTAGAGTTTAGGGAACATAAGCCCTCGAACCTTGCGAATACTGTCTATTATAGTGGTTCCCAAACTGGAGTTCATGAACCCTGAGGGTTCGCGAAATGTTACAGGGGGTTCTCGGAAAAAAATTCCCTAATGGCGGACAAAGCTGTCCCTAGGGACCCCGGACAGCAAGGGGCCAGCAGCACGGAGCCACTGGACTTCCACGAGCTAAGCAGATCAAAGCAAGCATATCTATCACACTGAGGAGATTTAAACTTCAAGACACCTTATAAGAAATGGAAAGGGAGGTGGGTATTCTTTGCTGTTTTTAAAATTAAATAAGCAGCTGGTATTGTTTTTATTTTAAATTATTATGAAGAACAAGTTTAAGCTTTGTTGTAATGTGCATTGTTTGCCTGGACTGCTCAAGACCTGAATGCTTGTGTAGGAGGAACACTGAGTTGGCTTCTTAAATACCTTCATGATGTTTCATATCTGATACTCCTTGATGAAACATAGGAGCCTTGTCTTATAACAGGCTTATTCAAAGTGATACAAGCTACAAAAGTGAGATATTGGAAGAGTGTCGCCATTTTCATAATGTAATAAAAATACTGTAATGATAAATAATAATAAATAGTGTGTAATAAGCATGTCATAAAAACAAATTTTATATTTCCCAGATCACTGCTTTTATAATTTATACTCAGATAAGGAGAAAATCCCTGGAAATATTCATTTTTAGGAGGGGGTTCGCAAGACTTGACATTTTAGTGAAAGGGGCTCACAGGTTGTTGAAGTTTGGGAACCACTGGTCTATTACAATGTCATATCTGTTGCTG